TCAAAGGATGTAGTAGAATGGGAAACGATGCAGAGAAGGTAACAATAAAAAGAAACCGGATAATAAAGATTACATCATTCGGTAAAGATAAAGATTGCAAGGACAATCAAAAGGCTTCTTCTGCGTGAGGAATTATTGAATAGGCTAAAGCTCTTCAACCTCAAAAGGAGACAGCAGAGGGGGTATCAAGGACTCGAAATCATGAGTGGTACAGAGAAGGTGACACGAGCGTGATTGTTCGGTTTTTCCACTGTGCTAACAGGTTTTAGCAATTGAAAAGGTCAGGCAGCACATCAAAGGATGTACTTTTTTTATGAAAAGCGTAGCTAAACTGTGTATCTCCTGGCCACAGGATACTGTAGATGCCAAAAGGTTGGTTAGTATCCAGGCAGCTTAGACTCAGTCATGAAGGAAGAAATCATCTGTGGCTATTAAGCACAAAGACACAAGCTCTCTTGCAAAAGGTCCTTAAACCGCCAGCTGTGGGAAGGTGGGAGGTTGTGTCAGGAACTATTACCAGGTGCTCATCTGTACAGTCTTCCCAAGTCATCTGCTAAGGGCTGCTGTCAGCAGACAAGATGCCAAAGGAGGTGGACCTGGGTCTGGCCCCGTAGAGCTGTTCCTGTGGTTGTGTGTTTCAGAGGAGCACTAGATCAACTTCTTTTGCTTAGCCAAGCAGAGCACATTCCCTAGAAAACACTGACTGTTTAAAGAGCCTCTGGAGGTACATGTGAGGGTGGAAGGAGAGCAGAGCTGGAGGACAGTGTCTGCATGAGAACCAATGGCATAAGTCGTCCAGGAGCAAATTTGTGTTGGAAATGAGAAGGTGGCTCCTAACCCCCAGAAGGCAGCAAGAGTCTGCTAGAAACAGGACTTGACCAAGTTGGGACGTGTGATGGTGAAATTCAGTGAGGATTGGAAGGTGAAGCCTTCCCATCTTTGCGACCTGCATTCTACCTATTAGTTTAAAATAGTCAAAAAAACATTTTAGGGAAGGACTTATTCAAGGTGTTCATGATACTTATCAGAGGGATTTGTGTTAGAACTGGTCCTATTTAACATTTCATTGGTAACCTGGAAGAAGTGTCATGTTGGTCACATTTGCAGCTCCTCTTATTTGGGGAGATCTGCAAAAGAGAAGGATACAGAAGAATTTTAATAAAAATGAGAAATATGGGAAATAACCCCAAGCTCATGTGCACTCTACACTGAAGAAGAGAAATAGAAAGTGCTGATTGGCCCTGACAACAAAGGGCTGTGAATAGAGGGGATCTGGGAATTACGTGGGTGTTTCTAGCACCTTGATGACAGGAGAGTGATTGTGAATTTGACAATGAAGTTTGGCGTTCTCGATCTCAAATCCATGAGGCCAAGTTAAAACTGCTTTGGGTTCTTCTGGCTTACAAACCTGAAGGCTGTATTCCATTTGTCATAGAATCATAGAACGGTTAGGGCTGGAAGGGACCTTCAAAGGTCATCTAGTCCAACCCCCCTGCAAGGAACAGGGATATCTCCAACTAGATCAGGTTGCTCAGGGCCTCATCCAACCTGGCCTTGAAATTCCATTCATATTTCCAAGCTGTGTTTCTCGGTTAATAGAGCTGAAGCTTTCTCTTTTTTAAAAAAGAAAAAAAAAAGATTTTAAAATAAAATAAAAGTTTTTTTTTAAAAAAAAAAAGAGGAGTGAGTCAGGATATCTCTTACAATCACAGGACTTCAGGAATGAGGGACCAATGGTACTCCAGAAAGTACCAATGGTCACAGTTGTAGAGTTATTGTAGTTGTGGAGTTATCTTATTTTGCAAGGAGATGCTGTGCCCTCTTCAAAGCTGGTAAGACCCCAGTTGGGCTGTTGGTGCATTGGATGCTCATGAAAAAATCCATGAGGAAGTGTTTTCTGGATGGAGCCTTAAGGGAAAGGAAAACGTAGACCCGAGGGGATTGTGATCAAAATTCCATCTATGTGGGATAAAGTTGTGACTGTTGGAGAGGAGTGCTATGTGTGAGAGAGGGTGTAAGGAGGTGTGGGTCTGTACCTTAGGGCAATTAACCTCTGCTG